AACAACCTAGGAGCGATTAAGTGGCTTACCAAAGATCATATAAACTAAATTCTCTCTGAGTTTTATGTTCCTTTTGCTACACTAGCATTTCCTTGTCTAAATTATACTACGTGTCAAAAAATTTTTGATTTTCTCTGCTGTGCATAATCATAGCTTTAATTAACTGAGCACCTGGTATGTATGATAAGCACCTGGGGTTTGGAGCTAGGTGGTCTGGATTCAAGTCCCAGTTCTAGCAATTATTGGTTATATATTTTGGACAAATTCCTCCTTCCCCCTGGACTTTATCTATAAATGGGGATAATAATCTTACTTACCTCATAGGGTTATTGTGAAGATGAATTGAGCGCTTAGAACAATTCCTAGCACACAATAACTGCTCAATAATTCTTAGCCATTATACTTATTACTGTATCGAATCCTTCCAAAAACACTCTTAAGCAAACATTGTCCTTGTTTATAAATAAGTAAATTGGATTCAGGAAAGTTATATGACTTGCTCAAGATCACCCAGATTGTAAATTCAAAGCAAGAAAGCTACTTTATTTTATATCAAGATTTGTGGTACACTCTGCCGCAAGGTTGAGATGGTACCTACAAACCTGATAGAACAAACATTTAATAACCAGGACTGGTCTGAATGTAGGCAGAGAGCTGGAATAAGTCTCCATGCATGCAAAGTGATTTTAAGGTTTTGAAAGCCACAGCCAGTCCCAGAAGAGATTCTGTGCACAATGGTCATGGCTCTAAGCATCCATCTTGTAAGTCTGTCTCCAAAAGACAACTCAGCTGGCACAAAGCCTCCAATTAGAGCAGTGACTGAGTAAAGTGCAGAAGGGCACATATGGGTGAGGCTGGGCAAACATTGGGATGAGGAGATGGTTGGCCACGTAAGTAGGACTCAGAAAAGAGGCCCATACTTCACTAAAGTAAGTAAATGTTTGTCTTAGGCTCAGTGGTGAGTCAATGCAAACAACAACCCAGATTTACAGCTGTGAGAGGTACGTTTACAGCATACTTCCACACAGATCTTCACAATGTATCTTCACAGCCTTCTGCAGTAAAGATCATTGCCTTTTTTACAGCCTTATTACCATTTTCCAGATGATGAAACCGAAATTCAGGAAGATTAAATTAACCACGTAAGGCCACAACTAGCAAGGTGCTGAGACAGTGCTTGAACTTGAAGTCTTTTGATGGCAAAGCCCTTGCCTCTTTTCATTACACCAGCCTGCCTCTCAAAGGCAGATTGCTGAGTACTATGTACTGGGAAACAGAAATGTAAGGCTGGATATTCACATGGTTGGTAGACTCTACATGATTCTTTGACTTTGCTAGTTTATAAACTTGTTATAGAAGTAGCCTCTGTTACACTCCAGTATCAGTTTGGTTTGTAAGTAAATACTAAATAAACTTCAAAACAAGCTTCTAATAATTCATACCAATTTAATATAATGTTAAATTGCTCATAGATGTTAATATATCTTAAGAGCCTGAAATTTGACCAAAGTTTTCCAAGGTTTTATTGTACATTCATAAAATTTTACAAGCCCTGCAATTTGTGGCTTCTGACAAAGTCTCTCTGCATAGGCTAGTGAATTAATTAGAGGCATCAAAAAGTCTATTGCTCACAAATCTTCATAATTCTGTGTTGTCATTCAAAGGAATTGCAATCCCCAGAAAGTCCAAAATTCAAATGAGCCAAGTACAAGCCATATATTCAACTGTAGCACTTGTCAAAGCAATAGTAAGTCCGGAATGAGGATAAAGTATTTCAGTCTGTATGGAAACAATCAGATTCCTTTCTTCCCTTGAGAGTGGATGCATAATTAAAAATAGGACATAATTACTGTTCTTTTGTATTTGAACAAAAATTCAGCAGGCAAATGGCAGCTGGAAGAATTAAACTGCAGGTGAAGGCAACTTGCAACTTGGGAGGTAACTGCCATATGATTTATACTGCATTATGAATTAGGCACCAGATGAGTACCATATTGATATATATAATATGTAGCAGCTCATTTGTATAATAAGCAGCAGGAGGATATTTTAATCTCCCAAATTATCATTAAGTTAGTGAAGGCAAGGATGATTTTAGTGAAAACATTAACTGAATTTTGAGCCCCAAACTGAAATGAAGCTTATTAATTTGCTGATCCTCCCAATGGAAAACAATTTTTAAGTATGTGTGTAATATTTTTTATAACTTACAGTCTGCCTACTTCCAAAAAGGATTTGATGCAACCTAACTCCACTCCAAAGAGAAAACTAGGATACAGGCAAACTGAAGTTTGGATGGGGTGAGTGTGTGTGATCAAACTACCCAATAAACCCATCCAGAAAAATTCTAAATCTTGTATTTTCTTAAATGAAATAATAACATAGCTGAATAACAATATGAAAATATTTTCTGAATCTAACTATAAAATGAATATTTTTCAATCTGTTCATAGTTTAGTGATTAAATCATCACTTTTGCTCATATGAGGGACTTTAATGTTTATTTTAAGCTTTTGTTTTCATTGTATTCTGTAACATTAACTGTTAGTGCTCACCAAAACAAAACAAAACAAAACAAAAAAAAAACAAAAACTTGTGTGTTTTTCCTTTCCTTAACACATGGCTACACCACATTTCCCAGAGTTCTTGCAGCTAAGTAGGGCTGGCTGATTAGTCCTATTCTATTGTGAAAGTGATGAGCAGGAGTGATGTTTGTCACCTCTTAAGACACTTAAGAGAAAGCACGCCTTCCCTCAATGTCTTCTTCCTTATCTACCAGCTGAATGCTGAAAAGACAATTCCTAGAGGCTTTAGAGCAGTGGTTCCCAAAATGTGGTCTCTAGACCTGTAACATTAGCATCACTTGGAACTTATTCAAAAATGCAGATTCTTGGGACCCACTCCAGACCCACTAAATCAGAAACACTGGAGATGGGGCCCAGCAATTTCTGTATTAACAAGCCCTCCAGGTGGTCCTGATGTACACTAGAGTTTGAGAACCACTGTGCTAGACAATGGCAAGGCCATGAGTTAGAAGGATCCCAGGTCCCTGGATAACTGCATGGAGCAGAGACTCCTCTCTTGCCTCACTTCCTACCTAACTGCACTGTGACATAAGACAAATTTTATATCACATTAAGCTTCTGAGATCTTCAGGTTGCCCTCCTACAGCTGTTAGCCTATCCTGACTAGTACTGCTCCTGGTCCTTTTTCTGTTAATGCTCTTGATGACTGTGACAACATTCTGCTTTTGTCCTCGCTACCACAAGTCTGTTGGGAATAATAAAGAGGCAATAAGCCAACAGGTTGAGTAATGTTTTTCTCAGGCTTTGATATTTTATCCCTCCTTGAATTTTCATATACTGTTCCCTCCACCTAGATTTTTACCTATTCCTTACCTAGAAAAATATTGCTTATCTTTCAAGCATCTCCACATCTATAAAATCTTAAGATCCCTTTATATGATAGAGGAAGTACCTTTCTAGAGAGTCTTACAGCATTTCTTGTCCTTCAGAAACCTGAGGCTTCCTAATTTGAGACAAGCATCTCAAACACACAAAATTTGGCATAAAATTACAAGACACTCTTTACATAGCTGATATTTTAAAATTTTACCCCACATTCTTCAGGTAATTTTTCCTTTTGGGGGGGAAATACCTTCTTCTCACTTCAAATATATATCTCTATAGAATATGTGACTTAGTTTTGTATAATCAGAGAACTTCTCTAGAATTTTTCTAAGTGGGCTTTTTGGAAAATTTTTAATTGTTATCTATGTTATGAAGTTGTGACTCTGGACTGTGATATAGCATAAGTCTGTTATAAGAAAGAATGAGGCCAATAATCAGAGACAACAAAGTGTAAGTTATGAAAATATCCTAGCCTCTGGACTCAGGTGTTCCTGAAATGGAGTCCACCTCTCTGTGGCTTAGATATTCAAATCAAAAATTCTCTTCTAAAATTTTCTTCAGATAGTTTGAGTTGAGTTTCTATCACTGGCTTTCAAAGGCTGCTAGCTACTATAAATATGAAAATAAATAAGTTCATTTCTAAAAAGAGGAATTATAACAGGTCTTGAGCTGAAGAAGAGTAAAGAGACCTAGAAGAGTAGATGAAAGGGAAAAAAGTAGATGCTTTAAGTATGACAAGGAGAGACAGTATAGAAAAATGTAAGATGAATGAAGAAAGACATCTCTGTCAAGATAGGGCAGCACTCTCTGGATCTAGTCCTTCACTTAATAGCTTCAAGATTTTTGCTTTTTTCTTATATATTTGTGATATTGAGGCTTTTTTATTGCATTAAAAAAATAAGCTTGTTTTCTAAGCAATAATGTCTGCAAAAATCATGAGTTGTTTGCTAGGTTCGTATACATAGCTATTAAAATTTTAAAAGCTCATTTGTGGATTTTTTAATGTCATCATGTGTGTTACAAATGGCATGAATACCAGGCTTGGGGAAATACTGAGCGAGAGTATCAAGTCTGCTGCAGGCTGGAGGGGAAAAGCAGAGGGAATGGTGGAGGGGGAAATCAACTTCCTCATTCCATATCTTGAATTTAGCTAGCCTGGGTGCTGCTCAGTTGCTTTCAGTTGACAAACTAACTGGGGGTTATGATGAATGTGACAGACAGGAGCTCCCTTGATATACACACAGATTTCATATGGCTGCTGGAGAGCCGTATCCACTGTTAAAACATTGGAATACTTTTGTGCAAGCTGGAAAGCAGCGTTGCTCTGAGCCTCCAAAGTGTTTCCACCCTGTGACCCAGCAATGGAAGGGGCAGTGCCAGTACAGCAGGAAGCCTCCAGAACCCTGTGCCAGCCCTGTGGTCAGCTTCCATCCTGATTGGTTAGTGCCCTTGACAACCAACTGGTTTGGAAATAATTTAGAACTCCCAGAATCATGTGTCCATGGAATCATGTATGGATCACAATGGGTTGCATTTATTGGTTTGCCTGTTTTCCTTTCCTGATTGTCACTAGTCCAAGGACAAGAACTATATTATATCCGTCATTTTCTCCAGTGTCTAATATGAATAGAGTTTTTAAATTGGAAAGAGGTCAGGAGGTGGCCAGGACCTAGGACCTGTTTCTGGTTGTTTGACTACCTATTTACTGTGCTACATGAAGACATCGTAACTAGGCAGGAAGTAGAATGTTGTGCTTACAGCCTGGATTCTGGAATTAACCTCCCTGGGTTTAAATCCTGGTTCTGCCCCTTACAAACTGGGAGATCTTGGGTAAATTAATTTATCTTTTTGTGCCTTAGTTTCCTTATCTGTTAAATAACAGGACCTATCACATAGTGATGATATGAGGATTAAATAATTAATACATACAAAATATTAAAAGGTATATACCTGGCATACATTAATAGTAAGTAATCAATATGCATTTACTATTATTATTTTATGTAGATAGGAGAATGCTCCAGGCAAAAGCCACTCTATTACTCTAAGGCAATGTTATGTAAACAATTGTACCATACCCCACGTGTTAACAGGCATTTCACATAAAGAGGTTCTATAGCCAATTTTGGTTCAGAAATGCTGAGTTGACCAAGATTATAAAGTTTTCTTCTTGATACATCAATATGCTGATGTATTTTGTAAAACTCTATGTGGGTTTTTTTTTTTTAAACCAGATAAGAAAACCGATTTTTGCCATTAAACTTTTTTAAAAAAGAGTACTTTTATGAAATTGTGACACTAAGGATTTTTACTTCCATCCTTATGTAAAAATTCCTGGCCCCTTTAACAGGGCTGGATCATGAAGAACTTCAATATACTTGTTTTTCTTTTTTTTTTTTTTTTAAAGTACTCTTAAGTAGCCTATATGCAAAATAGATAAGTAGCTTCCTTGGCCTCTTCCTCCCAGATTCATTACTCTGATGAGAAGAGGCAAGAAAATCACAATCCCGGTTTAAAAATCCAAAGTAAAAGGAATTTTTCTCCCTTAAGTTTAGAGGACTCACAGAAGTCCTTCTACCTTGGGCCTCCTGATTCTTCCTTGGCCCTAGTGGCCTTCCCATGCCAGAGTATCCTCCTACATCAACCTCACTCTCCTTTTACCCATCAGTTGATTTTAATTTTAATAGATATTCCAAAGAAAGACAGTTAAAACAGCTATATCACACAGACATAAGAAATTTGACGATCTTGCTCATCTCACCAAAAGCTTCATTTCACTAATGCTGGGAAGCAATGGTACCTGACCTTGGCCCAACAAATTAGTATCCTTCTCCATGGCTGGAGTCGGGAAGAGAGCTACAGGCTCAAGCATGCCCTGAAACCTAGAGCAGGGCCTGGTACAGTTAACATTCAATAATTCCTTACTGAATTAGTGAAAGGATTAAAGATGAATATTTAGGTAAGATATGGGAGGTACTTGCCAGACTTATGAATATAGTTGATATTCCACAAATCTTATCAACATACTAAAATTATGAATTTAAAGATATTAATCAAATACAATAAATTTTGACTTCAGTTTATGGGAGAATTTTCATTTTCACTCTTCCTCTTCCACCTTTCAACAATCTTTAGTAGTTTCATATGAAGGTTGGACTTTTCCATTTTGTGTGTGTTCTGATCTGGTTCTGAGATTTAACTGTATTAACTTTTTAGCACCATCTTTTTACCTGTAGTAAATTCATTCCCCATTTTTCTCATTTGCTTATTGTTAAGGTTATTTTTATTAATGACAATTTCTTCTTCCCATTCAAGAATCTTTTGGGATTGGGGAGCCTGAGAGTTCTGGACAATGCCCAGGAGTGAGCTCTGACAGCAGAGGGCTCAAGTGTATGGAACAAAGAGCATCTCTCTAATACCTCCACACGAACAACAATTAGACTGACAAAGTATTCCTGGATAAAACCTTGCCTGTCAGTGCTGTGAAGTGGTCATTCCATTATCTTCTGGCATTGGATGTCGCAGCAGAGAAGTCTGAGAGTTCCCTGCTTTTGGCTGCTTTAAATGTAATCTTATTTTTATACTTAGAAGATTGGAAATTCTTTCATTTTTCTTAAAATTTAAAGATTTTACTAGATTTTAGTTATTTTACTGTTACTGATATTAGTTAGCACATAATAAACCTTTTCAGTATCCAATTTCAGTTTTGAGTTTTGTTTTAATTCTGTAAATATTCTTAAAATTATACCCTTAGTCATCTGTCCTAACATGTTTGTATTATATTCTCCTTCAGAAATGGATATTAAGTTTTAGTTAGATTTCATGTTCTACTTTCCACATCTGTCATCTTCCTTTACATTATTGTCTTATTGTTCATCCTTCATTATGCTCCTGGAATCTCTCTGTGGTTTTGTTAGGTAGATAGCGAGCGATTCTGGGTCTCCAAAGGATGAAAGTGGGTGCTTTGCCTTGGGACAATTGCCCCACCTGGGAAGAAGGACAAGGATGGGCCCCAACGCGCCCATCTTGGTCCTGCCTCCCTTAATCCTGTCTTGAGCCACTACCTGGGGTAGGAGGGAACACCCTGCAAATCTGCCAATTGAAACTTAGCATGCCAACTGCAAAAGAATGCAGAGGACTCTCTAGCCCACGGGCCAAGCAGCACAAGTACAATAGAGCCCAGAAAGTGACCTAAAACAACCTGCATGTGTAGTAAGACTCAACTTACACAACTCTCAACTGTCCAATCAAAGTGGTTCCATGGTTGGGACCTCTGAGCCACAGGGAGGTCCCAACCCAGACACTATGAAACAAGACTGAGGCCATATCCAAGCCTTTCCTTTTTGCCTTCCTTTGCTAGGACAGTGGGTTCAGTTGTCATCTGTGGTGTATGTATCCTACTCTGTAAATTTATATCTTACTCTTGCTCTATAATCCTGTCTTTCTTTCCTCAATAAACCTCATTTTTATGCTTGCCTTACTTTAGTGTGTCTGGTCATTCTTTGGCCATGAGCACATCAAGAACCGACATTTCAGACCCAAAACCCAAAGTTTCACTAATATGATGATTCTCCACAGGAATTCTTATGCTTTCTCCTGCCACTAGTATCAACCTGAATAGTTCTAGAATCCAACGTAGTCTGTACTTGCCCAACGTAGTCTGTACTTGCCCTTCCTCTCTTAAACTTGATTAGGATGGTTAACAGTTCTTACTCAAGCATTTCCTATTAGGGTTCACTTTCAGCATTCTTTTTCTTTTGTTCTAGGGCATTTTCTCAGTGTGGTTGCATTGCTCATAATTTCATGTGTCCTGAATGCTAGTCTTGGCTGAGATTCCAGGAACAAACACAGAGGTGAGTCAAGACTGACTTGATTGACCTGTAGATTAAAGAGTGGCGAGAAAAGCAAAATCTGAAAATCAGCATGGAGTGATGGAACCAGAGTCAAGACCCAAGGGCATAATGCAAGTGAAGCAGCGGTGTGAAGACAGAGAGGCAGAGACCTGGTGCAAAACACTGACACAGAAAGCAAAGTAAGTGGCTTTAGAATGAAGGGAAGAAAGTTGTGTCTTGACTCTCTGCAATACTATAGGAAGCTACTAAATGTACTAAGCAATTTAGACAAAAGGGGAAGCTGGGTCAAACAACAAATCCTGTCTCTTGCCTGTCGGTGGATCTTATGCTGGAGGGCCTGGGATAGGGCCATGTGGCTTCTGGCAGAAGTCCTTCCTGAGACAGTGTGTGTAGCTCAGGTTGGCTGGCAGTGTTGCCTGAATCTCATTGATCACAGATAGGAAGGAATGTGCTCATTTCCATTTATTTTGGCAATTGCTGAGGTTGTTTTTCTCTTCTGGATGATTCCACAGGTATTTTAATTAAAAAAGGGAAAGGAATCTCAGAAGTTTCAATTCACTCTACCATTTTCTCTCAATTCCCAAATTTTACTCAATGATGCATATCTTTGTAAGTCACAGAAGAAATATGAAGAGAAAACAGAAGTTCCAATTGCTGTGTATAATATTCTACAAATATACTTCCCCCACACCCACTCCCAGAACATACTAGAATTAATTTTAGACATCTAGCATTCACAGATCTAGACTGTTTGCGTAAGACGGCTAACAGAAGTATTCGTTGCCCATGCTTATGTGATATGGAGACATGCCCAAGAGGAAGTAAAATGAAATTACTAGATCACTTTGGACTTTCCAAAGCCTTGAGATAATAATCTCTATGATAGACAACTGAAAAGTTTTCATATTAAATTTCTAGCTTTGGTGCCATTTGAAGATTTGCCGTTTAAATGAAACATATATTTTCAGGGAAGAAGTATTAAGATAAGAGTCAAGGAAGCTTTCAACAGAATGTGCTTTACTGGGCCAGAAAAATTGCCGTCTAGCTCCACCCTCAATCAGTAAAGGAGATAACCTCAAGGAGTTGTAACAAACACAAACAGAATGTTGAACCACAGCACCTCTTGGACTTCAGAAATGAGCCTTCCAAAGTAAGTGCATGTTTTCATTCCAGAGTGCCCCAGTTAAGTTCTATTTTACGCTAAATTTTAAAAACACATCAACAGAGTTGGTACATGGCATGCAATAGATAGCCACTGAATACAAACAAAAATAAGTCACAGGCCAATGAGAAATTAGATTAGGAATTTCATAGTTAGTATACATCAACTGATCTTTCCAAAAGTGGGGGAATGATTCCTTCATTTCATTCATAAATCTTGGCTTCAGAACTTGCTTCCGCTTAAGGACTATTTTCCCTGGCACTCATTTATCGATCCAGCCATCCATCTATCCAGCCTTCCAATGTCTTTCGAGTATTTAGTATGTGCCAGTTCTTCTGTGTGAGGCTTGGGATACAATAAAGAGTAAGGATAAGGCAGACTCTTTTCTTGACCTTGTCTTGTGAAATTTAGCTGCCTTTGCCTCCCCGGACTCAACCTCTTTCCCTCAACTCAGGGAGTTCGCTGAGTCCTGCCTGGGTTCTCCTTCCCTGTACTGATCATTGTAAACCCTCAAGACAGAAGACTGGTACTCACAGGGCTCAAGGCTCACCTGTTTGATTTTGCGCTCTCAAGGATCACTGTCCTTATTATCTGACATCCAATATCTCAAGAAAAACGCATCGCTTTATATATTTTGTCAGCTTTATTTTGGTTGTTTTAGCCAGGAAGCAGATGTCTACTGTTGAGTCTCCAGACTTCTTATTGTAGACTTCTACAGAAGTCCTTTGTCATATGGGTAATTTGCAAATATTTTCTCACAGATTATGGTTCATCTTTTCATTCTCTTAATTCTTTATTTTGTAGAGAAAAAGTTTTAATTTTGTTGTTTAACTTAGTGTCATGTCCAAGAACTCTTTTCCTAACCCCATGTTGGATAGGTTTTCTCCTAAGCATTTGCTACTTTTTAAACTATTGTTCATTTCATTCCATTTCAGTTGTGTGCGTGGGGAAAATTTATTTCTTGTTACTGAGTTACGTAGCATCTATCTCAAACCATGCATTCATTCTGGGCTATATTCCTTAGGGATTTTTGACACACCTGTAATTATCTAAGTCTCCACTGGATGTCAATACTGCTCAAGGAAAAGCAGTTCAGACATCATATTGGGTGCACAAAATAATCCATGCTTTAGAGAAGTGTTAAGGTGGAACAGTTAGAAAGGAGGCTAGAAAAAGTGAAATACTCAAGCAGGACTATATCCCCTTTGTCTCCCCTAATAAATGTCAGGCAGAGTGGTGGCACACAGTATCGGAATTCATAGCAATGTTGAACCTCAACGTTGAAAGACTGAATTCTATTTTTTCCACTCTGGATCGTTAGTTGCTGACATATGCAAAAATGAGAACACATTTTTGGTTGAATTATTTAGCTAATTCTCACAAGGTATTTTTTGAACTAGAATTACAAGTTCAGTCATTATTTCATTTCTTTTATTCACTTTCCAAACACTTACAAATTTCAGCAGTGATCAGGTGGAAAAGAATAACTTTGATGAGAAAAATACCTGGACCATTTTGGTCCATGTCCAACGATAACACTAAACTCAGCCACATAAAACAGGGCCCAAAAAGTAAAGTGACCTTTGACCAAATTTCTGAGCAGGTTTCGTTTTTTAGGCAGGGCTATACAAAATTTAAATTTGAGGCTTAAAATCTTTAAGAATCAGATTCTGGATATATTTTATGGTTTTATCATTCTGAATTAGATAATTATACCTTCTATCATTGCTATTTTTTAAATAAAATCATGTCTTTCTATTACTATAAGATGACTAATTTTGAAAATTGGAAAGAATAAATGTGTGATATTTTGACTATATATCCTGCAGGTGGGAAACAGGAATACGGGACTAACATACACAGGTTTGTGTGGGGCTGACTCACTCAGGTTCTTTCCAGAGTAAGGAAATATCTCAGGCCATATTTTATGAAATATCTTTAATGTGCTATATGAATGTAGTCAACAAGGCTGTCAGTTAACAGAACATAAAAGTGAATTTATGCTTTTCATTACCTGACTAGCATTGTGCTAGCATGACTAGCATGAATATTAAAATACTGAATAAACAATCATATTTAAAGTAGATGAGAGTTTTGAGTGGACAATTTTAAAATGTTCCAACATTTGGAAAAAGATACCCAAAATACAGTTTAAGATATGGGGATAATCTGGTCAATCAGAATTATCTCTTAGAAGATGTTATTTTAATCAATGTTTTGTGTTCAGGTATTGGTGATAGAGAAAATCAAAGGATTTAACTCTTTCTAAGGATGGTGAGTTGTCTTCTATGACCTGTTTCCTGTGGAGCTTAAAATCTTGTGTAGCTACATATCCAACAAGCCTAATTTTTGAATTGTAGTAAGGGGACTGCTCTACAAATGTATGTCACTAACATTCTATGATTCTTGTATTTGGCTATGTATGGTTTACTGCATTCAGCTTTAATATTTCATACAGTGACAAGATTTTATGCTAGCATGCATAATTTGGGGCCTATTTTTCCACAATGTACATGTCAGATTGTTGTAATCATATATATGCTATGGCAACAGCCTGAAAACTTTGCACTATTATTCATTACCTGGGTCAATAAGGTTTGTAAGTAATGCAAAAATTAACATTTTTATTTATCAAATTTTTTATGTCAAATCTAGATTGTTTGCTTGTAACTCATGGATTGGACTTTCCTATAGGCTGCAGGCATAAAATACAAAAATTTATGAAGGTGTAAATCATACTTCATCATAGCTGAAAGCTTTGTTCCAGACATAGTATTGGCATAAAACTAAAAATACTGGATTGAATTTCCATAAGTTCAGAGCCATGATTTTCATATCCTTTATTTTAATGCCAAATATATCACTAGTGTTTTATTTTTCTGTTTTCTTTTTTATTGTGTTATGATACCATCTTTTAAATTTCCTACTAAGCTATTCTCTGACTTGTCTCTATCAAACCAGAGGAATTTCAAATCTGGAAGACTGCTTAAAATACTTAAAGGTGAAATACAACCATTCTACAAAAATGGAATATTGGATGTATTACATTAGAATAAAACAAAACAATTAAAACAGATTCTTAGACAGGAATCATTGGTTCCAGTGTTTCAGTTTAAATCTGTGCCTCAGGCCAGGGGAGGTGGCTCACGCCTGCAATCCTTGCACTCTGGGAGGCCGAGAGAGGAGGATCGCTCAAGGTCAGGAGTTTGAAACCAGCCTGAGCAAGAGCGAGACCCCCATCTCTAATAAAAATAAAAAGAAATTAATTGGCCAACTAAAAATATATAGAAAAAATTATCCAGGCATGGTGGCACATGCCTGTAGTCCCAGCTACTCAGGAGGCTGAGGCAGCAGGATTGCTTGAGTCCAGGAGTTTGAGGTTGCTGTGAGCTAGGGTGATGCCACGGCACTCTAGCCCAGGCAACAGAGTGAGACTCTGTTTCAAAAATAAATAAATCTGTGCCTTATAAGATAGTAATTTTTCTATTTTTCAAATTAATTAAGCCAAGTTTTAACTTGGTGTGGTGTAATAAATCCTTCCTATATTTTTCATTTGTTCAGACTATAAATGATCTTTGGATTATTTAGATTAATGCTTTTGTGTTTTATAGTAAAAAATTGTTCTTAGAGAGGAAATGAACAGTGGGGAGACAACATATCTCTCAATAAAAATAATTAAATGAACAAAGAAAATAAAATAGATAATTGAAAAACAGACATTTCTCAAGTATTACCAGCTGCTCAAGATTAACTTCGCATAAATTTGCTCAGTGGTGAGGTTTTGTTAGATGACTCAAAAATATGAATTTAGGAATAACTCTCATCATCAAAATCCTTTGAGTAGAGGGTTTAAGACAAATTTTTCTTTTTTTTTAAGTTTCAATAGCTTTGATAAACTAGGAAGTCTAGAATGTGGGATTCCAAGGCCTCAGGGCTCCAATGGTCACTTAACAGAATAGCTGAGTCACTAAACTGTTCCTATTGTGATGTGAGCCCACAATGGGTATTCAACAAATCAGCCATGTTTACCAAATGAATGAACTCATGCATGCAGTGCATTAATATGTGGCACATCTAGGGGCTCTTCCCGGTTAGCAACGTTGCAAATTTGATAGTAAATCATGAAAATGAAGCAGCAATCAAAGTGCCAAAGGTAGAGTTTGCAGCATCTTTATCTTCATAGTAGTATTTTATGCCAAACAAAAGAATGTAGGGTCATAATCTTGTATGCTCATTTTCCAAAATCCAAAAAGCCCCCAAAAAACTGAAAGCCTTTTCTCTAACTTATTTGAAGGTAAAACCAGACCTAACCTGAAAGAGGCTATTTATATTGCTTATTCATCCTACTTAGTGTAAATATTCATATATTCTGCTACAGAAACACTAGCATGTTTGATAATGGAGTCTTGCTTCAGACTCTGGTAGAGGGATTATAGAAAACGTAATATATGCACTTTAATGCCTTTTAAAAATACATGGAATTACAAGCTCAAAAGCACTTTTGGCCCCACAGCTTGAGATAGGGCTTGTGACCGTGCATATAGTTTGTAAATTATTGGGATGTTTTCTGCTTGCTTGCCTGTTTATCAAGCATTCTCTCCTTTCTGAGGTTCAACTCATAACAACTTCCTTGCACAGGAGCAAGAGGGAGAATGAGGGTGCTCTTCTTGGGGGTGAATGCCTCCCTTTCTGCTCCTTGCCTGCAAAGATTATCCTGTGAGTCATTCACCTCTCATCAGCCATCAACCCTCACCATGACTTGGGCCTCTGGGAGTTGGTGCTCAGTTAATATGGGAAAGCCCTAGTGCTATGCCCAGCCTAGGGTACCGCTCAACATGTCACACCATGGTATGATCACACATGCTGAGTATCATTGTGTGGTTTGAGCATAGTTTCCTTCATGGAGGTGTATGAGGATAGCAATTATCATTTGGGCTTTATTAGTTTCAAGGGTTAACTATCTGGAGATCCAAGGAGGAGAATACAGC